CAAATAGCTGAGTGTATGCTAGTACTTTCCCTGGGTTGTTTTTTAACAATGTCCATGAGAGCTAATAAAAGCTTGCTCTCCACGCTGTCCCCTGAAACCAAGGCCTAGATACCTCCGAGTTTCCTAAGGGCACATATAAAATGCACAGTGGACAAGATCAAAGCCAGGACTGCACTGCTGTAGACCAGCATGCTACATTGTAAAATAAATGGAACTTAAGCCACCCCTCTAATCTTTTCTTACCAATTTATTACAAATTTCACTCAAACGTCACCACAAAACATAGTGACTAAGCAGGTTCTGTGCCTTCTTATACACATTTTTAAGTGAACAATTTTCAACATGTCCAATATATTATTCCTAAAATAATAATGAAAACACTGTCAATGAAACAAGAGAGTTACCAAAAGAAAGGCAGGGGGATCTAAAAATAAAAGCCCAAGACAGCCCACAATTCTTGGCTGTGGCCCCAGAGAAGAATGAAACTGGAGGAAGTGTTTCTGCACAGCCATATGCCACAAGGCCTCGCCAAGGGCAAGCTCTCCTGAGCCTACCCACTTACTACAATGGCAGCCTATTGGCTCCAGAGACACCAAGAATCTCCAAAGGCAAATGCAAAGCAAGACAGCAGGCAGCCCTGGGAGTTTCAGCATGCTTTCAATCTTTATACAAATGGAAGATGGGCTTGATTTAGCATCTAATGAGCAATCCTACAACAAGTTAAATATTTAAGCCACTTTCACCATCATACCCCCAAAAGTGATTTCCGATTAAAGCATCCATATTGAAAGAACCATGTCTGATTAACTGAAAACTAAGCTGGAGAAGTACTTGGAGACATTCAAAAGAAACAAATGCTCCTAGATTAGAAGAACTGTGGTGGGGGGACACCCACACTATCCTACCAAAACCCCTCCCCCACTCAGTCTCTTACAAGACACAACCACACTAGGTAGCAGTGAATCTCACACCCAGGCTGTGCCTCCTTACAACATAAACCACTTTAGCAGAGGTGAAGCAAGTCTTTTGGTCATCTAAATTGGGATCTCTCAAATCTGTAAATCTAAGATTCTCCATTTTTACGGTTTTACACAGGAAGGCCAAGCATGGTGCCTCACACCTGTAATCCAAGCACTTTGGTAGGCCAAGGCGAGCAGACCACCTGAGCCCAGGAGTTCGAAACTAGCCTGAGCAAACAGTAAGACCCCATTTTTACAAAAATAAAAATTTTTTAAAGAAAAATCCCATCTATACAAAAAAATACAAAAATTAGCCAGGAATGGTGGTATGCCTGTAGTCCCAACTACTCAGGATGGTGAGGCAGGAAGATCACTTAAGCCTGGGAAGCAGAGGTTGTAGTGAGCTGAGGTTACACCACTGCACTCCAGCCTGGCCAACAGAGCGAAGCTCTGCCCCCCACAAAAAAAGAAAATTACAGCTGGGTGCAGTAGCTCACACCTATAATCCCAGCACTCTGAGACACTGAGGTGGGCGGATCACAAGGTCAATGGTTCGAGACCAGCCTAACCAACATGCTGAAACCCCATCTCTACTAAAAATACAAAAATGAGCAGGGCATGGTGGAGCATGCCTGTAATCCCAGCTACTTGGGAGGCTGAGACAGGAGAATCACTTGAACCTAGAAAAGGAAGGCTGTGGTGAGCTGAGACTGAGCCACTGCACTCCAGCCTGAGCGACACAGCGAGTCTCCATCTCTTAAAAAAAAAAAAAAGAAAGAAAAGTAAAAAGAAAAATTACACAGGAAGCTGAAGCAGGAGGATCACTGGAGCCCAGGAGTTGGAGATCAGCCTGAGAAACATAGGCAGACCCCATCTCAACCTCCTGGACTCAAGTGACCTTCCCACCTTTGCCTCCAAGTCACTGGAATTACAAGCATAAACCACCGGCTGGGTGCAGTGGCTCACGCCTGTAATCCCAACACTTTGGGAGGCCAAGGCGGATGGATCGCCTGAGGTAAGGAGTTCAAGAGCAGCCTGGCCAACACAGTGAAACCCTGTCTCTACTGAAAATACAAAAATTAGCCTGGCGTGGTGGCACGCACCTGTAATCCCAGCTACTCAGGAGGCTGAGACAGGAGAATCACTGGAACCCAGGAGACAGAGGCTGCAGTGAGCCAAGATAGTGCCACTGCACTCCAGCCTGGGCAACAGAGCAAGGCTCCATCTCAAAAAATAAAACAAGTATAAACCACCACACATGCTTAAAACTTCTTTTTTGTAATTACATATGCTCCCTTGTGAAGCAAGGTATAGAACGTAAATGCCCTCTGTCTGGCAAAAATAAGTAGAAACCAGACCGCCTCAAATCGAGGTCTGATGTACGAAGGCACTGTCGCCCACCAGTAAGGAGCACTCCGGTCTCAGACCCTAAGATGGTATCCAGTCTTCTCCAGCTCCTGCTCCTGTTTTTCTTTAAATGGCCCAGCTTTTTAATAATTCCAAAACCTGAAAGCCCATTTTAGTATCAGATTCTGAATTCATCTGATGAGTCAACAAGTATTAAAAAGTGATCTGGTACTGGAGCTGAAACCAGACGAAGCCAATACTACCACAGAGGGACACATATTTATTTCTGGATAGCTGACAAATCCCATGCCGAATGCCAAAGCTAAATGCAAGGAAATAAAAATGCAGGCACCTTGCTAAAGAAATTGGAAAGCAAACCATGAAAGTTCTTTTTATAGCAATTAGTTTAACAACCCAATACCTGAGCCCTCAGCCCTCTCCACATAGAAAATCTTAAAAACACACGCAGGAGTAAAACCTTGTGCATGGACCCCAGGAGCCATGGCCAAGAAGGCACTGGGCTCCCCAACAACTACGGGAGCCCAGCCAGCACCCACGAGCAGCTGCGGTGGACAGGCCTCGGTGAGACGCTCCCCAGCAGTGGAAAAGAATGCAGAGAAGTGAAGATGAAGTCGGGAAGAACGTAAGAACCTAACGTGGAATAACAGAATTACAAAAGCCAGTCTCAGAAAGAAACATCACTGTTAAAGGTGTAAATAAAGTAGAGTTAGCGGTGTGAGCACATACGGCAAAATACAAATAAAAGCAAAACAGTGACCAACACGAGGTGTGAGGCAGGTGAGCCCAGGCAGGCAGCAACGACCATGAGATCGGGCGATTCTTGACACCTGACTCAAATTTTATATATACATCTTACCAATTCCGTTCTCAAAAAATCATGTGAAGTCACGGATGTGGCAGTGTTTCTCCATCATCACAACACACAAAGTAAGGTTCCATTGAGCCAGCAAACAAGCACTGTAAAACTGAAAACTGTTAAAGGAAAAACTCTTTCCCAGTGACTACCTACACAGTACAAACACCAGCTCAAAATAAGGCTATGCATTTAATCCCTAAAACTGACAAAACGTGTTTGTCCTTATGACTAACTGGAGTCTAGCTGAGGCACAGGCCACTGTCAAAAAGGGCAACGCCTGCTCAGCGTTTTCCAAACTGGTCACCTGAACTCTTCTCTGGAAGGGTTCTGTCTCCTTTAGTCTTACTCTAAAAACGGTAATTTTTCACCAGAATAAAGGCAATTTTTTTTAGAATGCTTCAAATGAAAAGAGGATTACACAAGGGTTACCTTAATTTTGTACCTGAAACAAAGCACCTGAAATTAGCAGAGGAGTCAGCCACTTAAGAGCAACACTACGTCTGTCCTGTTCCCAGGGCACCAAACAGGAGCGTCTTAATCCACTAAGCACATTAGGGCCTAACAAATTGGACTCAGTAACAAGGTTACCTAGTTCTTCCAAACAGGAATTAACCGAAGGGGATCATTATGATTAAGCACTATCCGCGGAATAATACCCAATTTCGAGTTGGGGAATTCAACAGCTGATGACTTTAAGTATCAAAACTCATAACAAGCAAAAGGCTTGGAATCACAGGTCCAGCACTGGACGGTGCCGGCGCGCTGGGAAGCGGCGCCTCAGACGGCGGCCCGGGGTCCCCGCGGTCCCTCCCTGCGCCCAGGACCGGGCAGCTCCTCTCCACCGCCAACAGGAGGCTCGGGGCACTCCCGAACAGGAGCGGAAACCACGACCCATGCCGCCCTCCGCCGCGGGGACGCCCACTCGCCAGGTGACCGCGTCCCCACGCTCCCCGTTGCCCGGGCGCCGCCGGGACCTCGGAGGCGGCCCAGCCCCTACCGTGCGCGGACGCGGCACAAAGGCGCGGCGCGCGGACCCCGACCCCGACCGCGTCCCCGGCCCCAGCCCCGGCCCCCGCCCCCGCCCCCGCCCCGCGTCCTCCGCCCGGCCCACCTCGGCCGTAGGCCTTGGCGCAGATCCACTGCAGGTTGGCGGCGATCTTGGCGCGCGCCGCGTCGTAGCGGTCCAGGGGCACGAGGTCGGCGGCGCCGTCCGGCGGGGCCTCCATCTTCCTCCAGCCCTCGGCAGCGGCGCGGCCGCCCGCGTCCACCATCTGCAGACAAAGGGCTGAGGCGGCGGCCCGGCCGCAACAAAGGCGGCGCCGCCGCCCCTCGCTGCGCCGGGCCCGGTGCGCCCCGAGCCCCCACCCAGCCCCGCAGCCGGCCCGCTGGGAGGGGCGCCCGAGCGCTGCCCCCGCCTCACCTCACAGCCGCCGCCGTCGCCGCCCCCGCGATGGCTGCATGCTGCGGGCGCCGAGCCCGGGCGGAGGAGGCGCGGAGCCCGCGGCCCAGCGAGGCGGCCAAAGGAGGGCGCGGGCAGAGGACCCGGACGAGGACGGGGGCGGGGGCGGGGGCGGGGGCGGGGGCGGGGGCGGGCGCGGGCCGGGGGCGGCGGCGGCGCGTGCGCAGCCCCGGGTGAGCGGTGGCGACGACAGCGGCAGCTGAGGCGGCGGCCAAGAAGCGGGAGCGCGCTTACCGCCGGGGCCTCGCACAGGCGCAATAGGCACCGCCCGCCACCCCGCCCTCGGCCCCGCCCCAAGCTCCGCTCCCAGCTCGCGCCAGACCCGCCCCTTTCCGCAAGCGCAGTAGGTAGCAACAGCCGGCCTGTGCCCGTCCCGCCCCTTTCCGCAGGCGCAGTGAGTGTCGCCCAGCCCCGCCCCGCCCCCTTCCGCAGGCGCAGTAGGACCCGGCCCTGTCTGCCTGCTCTGCGGCTCTGAGGCCTCCGCGCGGGGCACGAGGTAGGCGGGGCGGGGTGGGCGGAGTGGGTTCGCGGCGGGGACCCGGCAGAGCCCGCAGCAGCCCTCTGTCCGCGCCTTGCCTCCTCTTCTGGCCTGGCTGGTCCCCACCTCAGCCACAGCGGAGCCTCCTGGCCGACAGAGGTCTCCTCACCAGCACCCTGGGGACCGCGTGGGTGTGGCCGGCGGCGACCTCGGCAGGCGACATTCCGGCGGACTGGCACCAGGTGGACCTGCTACTGTCTCCAGGCCCCATCCCGGTCCAGGGAAGGTGGGCGTTTGGACCCCTGAGGCCCAAGTAGGTGCAGCCCCCGGAAGGGGCGCTGACTGCGTTTCCCTGGAGCCTGCGTCGGGGTTCCGCACTGAGCTGAGAATGACGGGAACGTGTGAGAATTTGCATTCCGAGGATTTCGTCTGAGAACCTCACCGCCGGAGAGAACTGCCCCCAGGAGAGCCTGCCCACGTGCCGCCGGGAGAGGCCGAGCTTCCTGGGAGCAGGCGCCCGGCGCGGGGCTCCCAGCCTGTCTGTCCCTGGACGAACCACCCTGTGCCAGAGGTGGAGCATGTGTGAAATGCCAGGGGCCCAGAGGACCCAGGCAGTCATTCACACACCAGCTCACGTGCAGGCTTCAATTCAGCGTTGAGGCCATTTGGGGCTGGGCTTTTTCGATGACTGATTTGATGCGTAGTTTTTTGGTTACTAATTGTATTTACTTGTTATAGGTCTGTTCTGATTGTCTGTCTCTTTTTGGGATTGCCATCTAAAAAGAACACGGAGTGGGCAGGCAGGGTGGTCAAGCAAAGCCATTGGAAGAGGACACTTATTTAAGCAAAGGGCAGTGGGAGGTCAGCGTCAAGGGTGAGGATATCTGCAGAAGTAGCATCTTGGGCAGGGGGCGAGAGCCTGGTGTGTAAGAAACAGGGCAAAGACCCCTAAGTCGAGAACCCAGGAGCAGGAGGGACTGGTGGGAAATGGGAGGTAGGGGCATGCAGGGATGCGGCAGGTCCTACACAATTAGAACTGGGGCCCCTTCTCTGCAGGAAATGGGTGGCCATCGGAAGACTTTGAGCACAGGGAAGGATGTGACTGAACCTTTAAAAGGATCATTCTGATTCCTGAGTGAAGAACAGACTAGGAAGTGTGGGGAAGGAGGCAGAAGGCCATCCAGTGACAGATGGGATATGGAGTGTGACCCAGAAGGGTCAAGAGTGACTTCAAGGGCTTTTCGTATACTGATCTTGTATCCTGCAACCTTGCTAAACACATTTATCAGTTCTTCTAGTCTTTTAGTGGATTCTTTGGGATTTTCTCTATACAAAAGCATGTCATCTGTGATTAGAGATCATCTTACCTCCTCCTTTCTAATCTGGATGTCTTTTATTTCTCCTCCTTGCCCTGGCTAGAACCTCCAGTGAAATATTGAATAGAAGCAGCAAGAGTGGACCTCCTCGTCTTGCTCCTGATATCAGGGAGAAGGCATCCAGTCTTTCACCATTGGGTATAATAGCTGTGGGTGCTTCAAAAATAGGTTTTATCAAGCTGGGCACAGTGGCTCACACCTGTAATCCCAGCACTTTGGGAGGCTGAGGCAGACAGATCTCTTGAGGTCAGGAGTTGGAGATCAGCCTGGCCAACATGGAGAAACCCCATCTTTACTAAAAATACAAAGAATTAGCCAGGCATAGTGGTGGGTGCCTGTAATCCCAGTTACTCAAGAGGCTGAGACAGGAGAATTACTTGAACTCATGAGGCAGAGGTTGTAGTGAGCCAAGATTGTGCCACTGCACTCCAGCCTGGGTGACAGAGTGAGACACTGTCTCAAAAAAAAAAAAAATAGGTTTTATCAGATTGAGGAAGTACCTTTTTTTTTTTAAGACAGTTTTACTCGGGCTGGGTGTAGTGGCTCACGCCTGTAATCCCAGCACTTTGGGAGGCCAAGGCGGGTGGATCACGAGGTCAAGAGATGGAGACCATCCTGGTCAACATGGTGAAACCCTGTATCTACTAAAAATACAAAAAATTAGCTGGGCATGGTGGCACATGCCTGTAATCCCAGCTACTCAGGAGGCTGAGGCAAGACAATTGCCTGAACCCAGGAGGCGGAGGTTGCGGTGAGCCAAGATCATGCCATTGCACTCCAGCCTGGGTAACAAGAGCGAAACTCCGTCTCAAAGAAAAAAAAAAAAAGACAGTTTTGCTCTTTTTGCCCAGGCTGGAGTGCAGTGGCATGATCTTGGCTTACTGCAACCTCTGCCTCTCAGATTCAAGCGATTCTCCTGCCTCAGCCTCCCAAGTAGCTGGGATTGCAGGTGCACGCCACCATGCCCAGCTAATTATGTATTTTTAGTAGAGACAGGGTTTTACTGTGTTGGTCAGGCTGGTCTTGAACTCCTGAACTCTAGTAATCCACCTGCCTCGGCCTCCCAAAGTGCTGGAATTGCAGGCATGAGCCACTGTGCCTGGCTGAGGAAGTACCCTTCTATTCCTACTTTGTTGAGTGTGTTTATCATGAAAAGGTGTGGGATTTGGTCAAATGATTTTTCTGCATCCATTGAGATGATCATGGGGTTTTTTTCCTTGTTCTGGTAATGTGGTGTATTGCATTAATTGACTTTCAGATATTGAAAAGATATGTATCCCCTGCAGTCAGAAGATAAATACTCATGGAGTATCTCTCTTCCTGGATTCAGTTTAATACCATTTGGCTGAGTGATTTTTTTATCCATATTCATCATAGATACTAGTCTAAAGTTTTGTGGTGTTTGTGTCTGGTTTTGGTATCAGGGTCCTACTGGCCTCATCAAATGAATTGGAAGTATTCCTTCCTCTTCTATGTTTTTTTTTATTTTTTGAAAGAGTTTGTGAATAATTGGTTTTTTTTTTTTTCTCTAAGATAGGGGTTCACCGTATCATCCAGGCTGGTCTCCAATTCCTGCCCTCAACTGATCTTCCCACCTCAAGCCTCCTGAGTAGGGGGGATCCCAGGCACAAGCCACTGGGCCCAGCTTTAATTCTTTAAGTGTTTGATGGGATTCATCATTGAAGCCATTTGTGTCTGGGGATCTTGATTACTTATTTTGATCAATCTCTTTACTTGTTATAGGTCTATTCAGATCGTCTATTTGTGTCTTTAGAGGAATTTGTCTGTTTTTGTCTAAGTTCCAGTGTTTTGGGCGTAAGCAATTTTAAGGACAAAGGTATCCCTAGCCAAGATGGAAAAGGCCAGGGCAGGGTGGTGGGAGGGGTCAGAGTTTGGATGTGTTGCATCTCAGATGCCTGCTGGGCCCCCTCATGGAAACGCTGGTGGGCAGTTGGATGAGTGACTCAGCGGCATGGCCCAGGTTGGAGGCTTGGAGGTATCACCACAGACAGAGCCTTTAGAGCTGTGAGGCAAGAAGAGGGGCCAAGGAGCCATTGCTCAGGTGGAGGGGAAGTCGAGGCATGGTGCTTGGGCCTGGGGGCAGCACTTGGGAGGAGCCAACCTGAGAGGTGAGAGGCCAGAATAGGGGTCGCCTTCTTAAGGCCTGGGGGCTGACTCAGATTTGGCGAGTGCGGATTTTGCGGAACAGTGGTGTATTAGTCCGTTTTCACGCTACTGATAAAGAGATAGATACCCAAGACTGGGCAATTTACAAAAGAGTTTTAATGACTTAACAGTTCCACATGGCTGGGGAGGCCTCACAATCGTGGCAGAAGGCAAGGAGGAGCAAGTCACATCTTATATGGATGGCAGCAGGCAAAGAGGGAGCTTGGGCAGGGAAACTCCCCCTTATATAATACTGTCACATCTAGCGAGACTCACTCGCTATCAAGAACAGCATGGGAAAGACCTGCCCCCATGATTCAGTTACCTCCCACAACATGTGGGAACTCAAGATGAGATTTGGGTGGGGACAAAACACAAAAATTAGCTGGGCGTGGTGGCATGTGCCACCCAGGCTACTTAGGAGGCTGAGGCGGGAGAATTACTTGAACATGGGAGGCAGAGGTTGCAGTGAGCCGAGATTGTGCCACTGCACTCTAGCCTGGGAGACAGAAGGAGAGTCCATCTCAAAAAAAAAAAAAATCTAATTCTGTCCCAATACAGTGGTTCACACCTGTAATCCCAGCACTTTGGGAGGCCAAGGCAGAAGGATCACTTGAGCCCAGGAGTTCAAGACCATTCTGGGCAACAAAGTAAGACCCCACCTTTACAAAAATTTTTTTTTAAATAGCAGGAAGCCGGGTACAGTGGCTCACGCCTGTAATCCCAGCACTTTGGGAGGCCGAGATGGGTGGATCACAAGGTCAAGAGATCAAGACCATCCTGGTCAACATGGTGAAACCCCATCTCTACTAAAAATACAAAAAATTAGTTGGGCATGGTGGTGCATTCTTATAATCCCAGCTACTCAGGAGGCTGAGGCAGGAGAATTGCCTGAACCCAGGAGGCGGAGGTTGTGGTGAGCCGAGATCGAACCATTGCACTCCAGCCTGGGTAACAAGCGAAACTCAAAAAAGAAAAAATGCAGGAAGCAATAGTGTGCACCTGTGCTCCCAGGTACTCGGGAGACTAAAGTAGGAGGATCACTAGAGCCCAGGAGGTAAAGGCGGCAGTGAGCTGAGATTGTGCCACTGTACTACAGCCTGGGCAACAAAGCAAGACCCCTGTCTCAAAAAAACAGAAAAAGAAAAAACTATTTTGTCGAGGGCAAAAGAGGCTGACCTTCTTTTCTTTTTTAATGTTGACACTAGGTTACAGTATCATTAGACATAATGAAGGTAGCGGGAAGGTGCTCCGAAAGCTACAAGTAGAGAAGCTGCTCAGGCACAGCTCCAGTAACCAGGGCCCAGCCTATGGGGAGGAGTTGGCAGGCACATTCCTTCAGGGGCTCCCGCCTGCCCATGGAGAGCACAAGAGGAGAGCCCATCCTGTTTGCTCTGCCGACCCCCTCTTGTTCCTAGACACATCCTGAGGGTCCCACTAAGTGCACGTTGACTTATTCTACAGGGTGAGGCCCCTGGACTTCTCGCTAGTGAAGTAGTGCAGTGACAGCAAAGCCACCACCCCCCCCACCCAAATATGTCCACATCTTAATTCCTGGAACCTGTGAATGTGTGACCTTACCTGGTGTCTTGGTTCATTTGTGCCGTTATAGCAAAATACCACAGACTGGGTAATTTATAAACAATATAAATTTGTTTCTCATGGTTCTGGAGGCTGGGAAGTCCAAGATCAAGGCGCTGGCAGGTCCCATGTCTGGTAAGGGCACTTTGTTGCTGTTTCCTCTAGAGGGAAGAATGCTGTGTCCTCACAAGGTAGGATAGGCAGAGGGGCAAGAAAAGGCCAAACTCCACTTTTATAAGAGGAGCCCTCGTGACCTAGTTTTAAATGGCACCACCTCTTCTATCACCACAGTGGGGACCAAGTTTGTTAATATTCAACCTAAATAACACACAGGCACTCTAAAAAGATATTTATTCAGGAATAGAGCCTTTCAATGTGAGCACACATATTATAGTAACTATGTGCATGTTCAAGGAAGACAAAGATTTTAAAGAAAAGAAGCAGAAGAATTACATAATCATTTTGAAATGATTGCCATTGACTACAGAGATTAATATCAAGGGTGATACTGGCCCAAGGTTGGAAGGTAGCTGCTGGGCAGGTGTCCTTGCAGAAGAATTTTCTTGTGTAACATTTCAATGGCCTTGGTCAGACACGGTGGGTCACACCTGTAATCCCAGTACTCTGGGAGGCTGAGGTGGGCCAATCACTTGAGATCAGGAGCAAGACCAGCCAGGCCAACGTGGTGAAACTCCATCTTCACTAAAAATACAAAAATTAGCTGGGTGTAGTGGTGCATGCCTGTAATCCCATCTACTTGGAAAGCTGAGGCAGGAGAATCACTTGAACCCAGGAGGCGGAGGTTGCAGTGAGCTGAGATTGCACCACTGCAATCCAGCCTGGGCAACAGAGGGAGACTCGGTCTCAAATAAAAAAAATAAGGTTTCAATGGCCTTTGTACAAGGCTGTGGTTTTTACAGTCTTTTGTGATAGTTTTTGTTATCAGGCATGCAAACCCTCTCTTCATGGCCTTCCCTAGCTCTATTTGTTAGAGTTTTCTTAACATTGGTCACTCTGTTTTGATCCTGACAACTTTCAGTTTCCATATGAATTTTGGAGGGAATGATATCTTTTAAATCATCATACCTGGCAAAAGGGACTTTGTGGATGGGATTAAGTGAAGGTCCTTGAGATGGGGGCTATCCTGCATTATCCAGGTAGGTCCCATGTAATCACGATCATGGGAGGGAAGCAGAAGCTTCAGAGTTGGACAGGAGATGTCACCACAGAAGCAAGGGTTAGAGGAGAAAAGATGCTGGCTTTGAAGGCAGAGGAAGGGGCCACAAGCCAAGGAAGTTGGCTTATTCTACAATCAACAGGATTAGGCCCCTGGATTCCTCGATAGTGAAATAGTGTAGTGACAGCAAAGCCGCCCCCTCCCAAAGATGTCCACATCTTAATTCCTGGAACCTGTGAATGTGTGACCTTATCTGGTGTCTTAGCCTGCTGGCTTTGAGGGCAGAAGAAGGGGCCACTAACCAAGGAATGTGGCTTATTCTACAAGCAACAGGATGAGGCCCCTGGACTCCTCGCTAGTGAAATAGTGCAGTGACGGCAACCTGCAGTGACACTGGCCCAAGGTTGGCTTCCTCAAAGCTGGAAGAGGCAGGGACAGATTCCCCCACAGAGCCTCCAGAAGGAACCAGCCATGCCAACACCTTGACTTTACCACAGTGAGATAATGTAGACTCTGACCTCAGAACAGTAGAAGAATAAATGCTTGTGTTTTGGCCACTGAATTTGTGGTAATTTGCCACAGCAGCTGCAGGAAATGCATACACATGGTGACTAATTACAGAGTTCCTTCCCCAGATACACTCAGGAGCATGTAACCACCCCAGCCTCCTAGTGGAAGCACAGGTCCTGCAGAGAGGCCACACCTGTGCACCCCAGGAGCCAAGGCCACCCTCCTGCACAGGGTACCACTCCTTGCACCTGCCCACTCCGGCCTCTTCATGGCCCTTGGTCAGGGCTGGGTACACCAGCAAATGTTTCAAAGTAGAACATCCCTTAGTGTGGTGATTCTCAGCATTTTTCTTTTCTGGAAAGATGTGAAAGAAGATGTTCATGTGTGACATGGGCCCATGGAGGTGTTTGGGATAGTCACCATACCCAGTAGGCCAAGAAGGTTGATACTGGGAACCAGGACAGGAAAAAATACCATCTTTATCGTCACTGGCTTTTAATCAAAATTTAACATTTTCCTGAATTATGAATCTAGACAACCAGCTGTGGCAGTGGCATCAGCAGTGTCCAGGACTCCACCTGCTACAGAAGTCATGGATGTCTCACATCACCATTTCTGCCAATATCACAGAATACCATTCTGCTCATCATTGCTTCAAAATTACCATAACTACTAGCCTAGCTGCTCAATTACATTATTTAACACATTCATAAGCACATGCAGACAGATATGGCGGGTCACACCTGTAATCCCAACACTTTGGGAGGCTGAGGCAAGCAAATCACCTGAGGTTGGGAGTTCAAGACCAGCCTGCCTAACATGGAGAAATGCTGTCTCTACTAAAAATACAAAATTAGCCAGGTGTGGTGGCACATGCCTGTAATCTCAGCTACTCAGGAGGTTGAGGCAAGAGAATCACTTGAACCCAGGAGGGAGAGGTTGTGGTGAGCTGAGATCGTGCCATTGCACTCCAGCCTGGGCAACAAGAGCAAAACTCCCATCTTAAAAAAAAAAGCAGCATATGCAGTACTGTGCCACCATTCGAAATTTTTTATGAAAGTATTTTAATTTCATTTTTAATCTTTATAGGCATTAAAAGCATTATCTGAATCTTAAAGAAAAGTCCAAGATCTGATGGCTTCCTGGTGAATTCTACCAAACGTAAAGAAGAACTAATACCAGCCCTTCTCAAACATTTCCAAAAGACTGAAGAGAAGGGAACACTTCTTAACTCATCCTGTAAGGCCAGTATTACCCTGTTTCTAAAGCCACACATAAGAAAACGACAGGCCAATATTCCTTAGGAACACTGATGCAAAAAACCTCAACAAAGTACTGGCAAACAAACGTCAGCAGCATGTTAAAAGGATTATACACTATGACCAAGCGCATTTATTTCTGGAACGCAAGGATGGCTCAGCATATTAAAAAAAAAAAATCAATGTAATACACTATACTAACACAATGAAGGAAAAAACCACATGGTCATCCCAACTGATGCAGAAAAAGCATTTGCCAAAACACCATTTCATAATAAAACCACTCAACAGATTAGGAATGGAAGGGAACTACCTCAACATAATAAAAGCCATTTATGCAAAGCCCACATCTGACACTATGCTCAGTGATGAAAGGCTGAAAGCTTTTCCTCTAAAATCAGGAATAAGGCAAAAATGTCCACTTTTGCCTTTTCTATTACGATTTAGCCACGGCAATTAGACAAGAAAAATAAAAGACATCCAAATGGAAAAGGGAGAAGTAAAATTATCTCTGTTTACAGATTATATGATCCTTTATGAAGAAAATCCTGAAGATTCCACAAAAGACCTGTTGGAACTAATGAATGAATTGAGCAAAGCAGTAGGATACAAAGTCAACATGCAAAAATCAGTTGCATTTCTGTATGTTAACAATCGGAAAAGAAAATTATGAAAATTCCATATACAATAGCATAAAAAGAATAAAACAAGAATTAAGGAGGTGAAGGACTGGTACAATGAAAGCTACAGAACATTGCTGAAAGGAATTAAAGAAGACAGATAAATGGAAAGATACTTTGTGTTCATGGGTGGAAGACTTAATATGGTTAAGATGTCAGTACTACCCAAAGGAATCTACAGATTTAATGTAATCCCTATAAAATCCCAATGACATTTTTTGCAGAAATAGAAAAACATCTTAAGATTCATATGGAATCTCAAGGGACCCTGACTAGCCAAAACAGTCTGAAAAAGAACAAAGTTGAAGGACTTTCACTTCCTGATTTCAAAACTTTCTACACAGCTACAGTAAGCAGTGTGGCACTGGCATAAAGACAGACATATAAACCAGTGGAATAGAATAGCAACTCAGAAACAAACCCTTCATACATGGCTAAATGGTTTTTAACAAGAGTGCCAAGACCATTCAGTGGGGAAAGCACAGTCTTTTCAGCAAATGGTGCTGGGAATACTAGATATTCACACACAGAAAAATAAAGTTTGGTGCTTACCCAGATAGAAAGACTCAGAATGGATCCAAGACCTAAATGTAAGATCCCAAACTATAAAACTCTAAGAACAAATTAAAGGGCAAAGCCAGGCACAGTGGCTCATGCCTGTAATGCCAGCAGTTTGGGAGGCTGAGAAAGGAGGACCCCTTGAGCCCAGGAGTTCAAAACCAACCTGGGCAACAGAGAGAGACCCTGTCTCTACAATAAATTTAAAAATTAGCCAAGTGTGGTGGTGCACGCCTGTAATCCCAGCTACTCAGGAGGCTGAGGTGGGAGGATCATGAGCCCAGGAATTTGAGGCTGCAGTGAGCCATGGTTGTGCCACTTCACTACAGCCTGGGTGACAGAGAAAGACCCTATAGAAAAGAAAAAAGAGAAAATACAGGATAAAAGCTTCATAATATTGAATTTGGCAATCATTTCTTGGATATGACACCAGAGGCCCAGGCAACAAAAGAAAAGATAAATTGACATCATGAAAATCAAAAAGATACTATCAGCAGGGGGTGGACATGGTGGCTCATGCCTGTAATCCTAGCACTTTTGGAGGCCAAGGCTGGTGGATCACTTGACCTCAGGAGTTGGATACCAACCTCGGCAACATGGTGAAACCTCGTCTCTACAAAAAACACAAAAGATTAGCCAGGCGTGGTGGCTCATTCCTGTAGTCCCAGCTGCTTGGGGGTGGGGGCTGAGGCAAGAGGATCATTTGATCCCAGGAGGCAGAGGTTGCCATGAATGGAGATTGTGCCACTGCACTCCAGCCTGGGTGACAGCCTGACACTGTTTAAAAAAAAAAAAACGTAACAAGGCAACCCACAAAAGGAGAAAATATTTGCGAATCACGTATCTGAAAAGGGATTAATATCCAGGAAACATGTGGAGAACTCCTAAAACTTAACAATAGGAATCCAAACAACATGGTTAAAAAATTAGCAACAGACTTGAAGAGACACTTTTCCAAAAAAGACACACAGATGGCCAAGAAGCACATGAAAAGATGCTCAGCATCACTAGTCTGTAGGGAAATGCAAACCAAAACCACAAGAGACCACCTACCAGCCGCTAGAATGGCAGCTGCCGTAAAACTAGAAAATAGCAAGTACCGGGGAGGATGTGGAAAAACGAGCAGCTCTGTGCACTGTTGCTGGGAATGTGAAATGGTGCAGCCACTGTGAAAAGCAGCATGGATGTTCCTCAGAAAATTAAACAGAATTACCATGGGACCCTATAATCGAAAGCAGGGTCTCCAAGGGGTGTTTGTATGCCCTGTTCATGGCAGCTTATTCCACTTGGGTGGAAACAGCTGAAGTGTCTGTTAGATACAGTGAGTTCCTCTTTGGAGGTTCTATTTTCCTCTTTGCCCCTAGTTACAGTTAACAACCTTCCCACTAGTCCCACATCTGTTCCCAATCTGTAACCTGTAACCCACATCTGTTTCTTATTTTGCTGCAATAGACCCCACCCCTGTTCCATTTGAAGTAGCCCATCAGGATCAGCTTAGATTGTGTGGTTTGACTTCAGCCAATGAGGACCAGACACAGTAGCAGGGACTGACTGCAGCAGGGTTAAAAACCCCTTTCCTCCTTTGTTCAGTGTGTTCTCACAGTGGCCAGAAAAGTGAGCAGCACCCTTCTGCAGAAGTAAATTTACCTTGCTGAGAAATCCTTTGAGTGCTTTTTTTCTTTGTGACTCCAACCTCTTTATTTCTAACAACCTGGGGGCCCGTCTGGGATTTCCTTTCTCCCCTGGGGAGAGGTCCCCAATCATCTCTTGTGAGGAGATGCATCCCTCACAACTGCCTTGTGGTGGCCTCAGGAAAGGGATGACATGGCATGACAAATGACCCTGGACACTCAGCAATGTGGGCAGAAAGGGTCCTCACTGTGTCAACCAGGTAAGTCTGTGCAGAGACCAAGGTAAGAAATGTTGCAGGGGCGACAAAGTATTTCGTTGTTGGTCGGGATACCTTGGAGGCTGAGAATGCATGAATGAGATGCACAACTGAGCCTCTAAACAAAGGAAAGGCAAGAAACCTCCAATAAGGCAGGGGAGGTTTGAACCTTTAGAGAAAAGAAAAGCAAGAAATCTCTAGGATAAGGAATTGAGCCTCAGGTCAAATCTCCAGGATGGGAAATGCCCCAAGTGAGATAGAAAATGAAAAGGATAGCCAGGTGCAGTGGCTCATGCCTGTAATCCCAGCACTTTGGGAGGCGGAGGCTGGTGGATCACGAGGTCAAGAGATCGAGACCATCCTGGTCAACATGGTGAAACCCCATCTCTACTAAAAATACAAACATTAGCTGGGCATGGTGGCGCGCACCTGTAGTCCCAGCTACTCAGGAGTCTGAGGCAGGAGAATTGCCTGAACCCAGGAGGCGGAGGTTGCAGTGAGCCGAGATCGTGCCATTGCACTCCAGCCTGGGTAACAAGAGCAAAACTCCATCTCAAAAAAAAAATGAAAAAGATAAAGCTAATAACAATAATATTCTTCCTGGTAGGCCCTTAGGTCTCATGTTAAAATATTGGGAAGATAATGAGAGGACTAAACACACACACAAAAAACAGATGATAAAATATTGTTGTTTCATTTGGACTCAAGAACCAGTCCTCAAACCCTCAGTTTTCTGGCCAAAGTTTGGGTCAAATGAGGATTGGGTTTGTCATCTTTTAATAGAATATATTAATAATGAGTCCAGTCTCAGGAAGAAATAGATTATGCCCTGATTTGGTGGCAGGGGCCTGTCCTCCCTTACCCCCTAAAAACTAAAGAAAGTAAGTCCTTGGAGAAGAATAGGATCCTTACCCCCAAACAGTCCGCCAGCATATGGGATCCCCTAGACTACCTTCCCCCATTTAATGCCGCTGATCCTCCTCATCCTTATCACCCTGACTTTTAGGAATTATCATCCCAAGAGCCCGCTCTAAGTACTATTCCCTAAAAAGACTTAAATGTGAGGTAGAACAATGTAATTAAAAAGGATATTCAGAACTTCCCTTTCCCCGTTACCTCTAAGGAATCACCTCCAACCCTCTTCCCCTTAAGAGTGGTGTCCCTAGGGCAGGGAGCCATTGGCTTAATGAATTCCCCTTAATCAGCTCAGAAGTTTGAAATTTGAAAAAAGAACTCAAGCCACTGTTAGATGACCCTTATGGAGTGGCAGATCAAATTGACCAATTTTTAGGACCCCAGTTATATACTTGGGCCAAGTTAATGTCCATCCTGGGCATCAGGAGAAGAAAGGAACATGATCTATAGGGCTACTGTGGTAATTTGGGAATGTGAACATCCTCCTGGTCAAAACATTCCCACCACAGACTGAAGATGCCCTGCCCAAGACCCCTGGTGAGACACAGCTCACAGAAAATATGCAAGACCTTAGGGAAATGATAATAAAAGGAATTCGGGAATCAGTACCCCAAACCCAAAATCTTTCCCGAGCATTTGACGTGCAACAAGGGAAAGACGAAGGACCTGTGGAATTCTTAGACTAAAAGGGCAAATGAGAAAATATGCAGGCCTAGATTTCAAAGATTCCCTTGGCCAGGGAATGCTAAAGCTTCATTTTGTCACTAATAGTTGGCCAGACATCTCAAAGGAATTACAAAAGATAGAGAATGGGAAATACCATCCCATGAATGAACTCCTTAGAGAAGCTCAGAAAGTATACATAAGGAGCAATGAAGAAAAGCAAAAGCAAAAAGCAAAGATTATGTTATTCACCTTCCAGTAGGGCGTTCCAAAAGATAAGGCCCCTAGACAAAGTGTTCAGGGG